TATGGACTTTAGTTCCTCATAATGTATCCATATTGGAACAGTGATTATAACCAATGTATGGTACTAATGTAAGATATAAGATGTTAATAATAGGGGAAATTGGGGACAGGGTTTTATGGGAACTCTCTTTACTATCTGCTCATTTTCTGTAAATCTAAAATTGTTCTAGCCCAGCCGGTGTGGGTCAGTGGTTGAGTAGCGACCTGTGAACCAAGAGGTCAATGGTTTGATTCCTGGTCAGGGCACATGCCTGGGTTGCGGCTTGATACCCCATAGGAGGACTGCAGGATGTTTCTCTCTCTCTCCCTTCCTCTATCTCTAAAATCAATAAAAACATACTTAAAAAAAGTAAAGTCTATTTAAAAAAGTGTATTATCTCGCTTCATGTGTACTGAGATGGGCCCTATCATATCTTGACTTGCAGAGGAGAAAATGAGACGGGGTAAGGACTGCTCAGGCCACACAGGGCTCCTAGCAAGTGGCCAGAGACCATTGCAAGGTGTTAAGGATGACACTGAACCTTCCTGTTCGTCTGGGAAATAGGAATTTTAATAGTACTCACTTCACCTAACTAAAATCAAGTTAGTAAGATGCGCTAATGCAAGTCACGTGCTTAGCATGGGACACAGTAAGAGCTCCCCAAATGTAGCTATAGTTAGTGGTTTAAACATTACGCTCCTCTCAGAGCCTTGTCATCTGTTACATGACCAGCACCGGCCTTTGCGGGCTGCGGGGCTAGGAGGGATGTATGCTAGAACAGAGGTCAGGAATCATTCTAGGAGAGAATGAGTTCTCCCCTTCTGGGAGGAAATGGCTCTGTGATCCCCAGGCCTCTGAGGATGGATGTTTTTAGACTCCAGGCCTGCTGCCTGAGGCTGCTTTAATGGGGGCAGGGGTGGCAGAGGCGGGCACACAGAAGCTTCTTTGTCCCAGCTGGTGGCGGTGGCTGGCAGCTGGCTCACCCTGGGGATGCCTTCGGTTCAGTTACCTCCCTCTCTGCAGGACACTGTGGGGTGGGGGTAGGAATAGGGGATGACTCACTCCAGGCTATCTTGACTCAATGGGTGACCTTGAGACAAACCGTGGGCCCCTTGGTGGGGGCCCACTTCCCCACAAGTCACCCAGCAGGGATTGCTTCGCCTCTGCCCAGCTCAGGGCCTGGTACGGAGACAGAGTGACGAGACAGAGTGGACACTGCGGAGGGCTGGTCCAATATGGTCCTGAGCCAAACCCTAGCTTTGAGCTCAGATGCTCCGCCTGACCTAGCAGGCCTGCCATGACCTGAGGCCATGTGACCTGTGTCCTCACTGCAGACCTTGCACCCCCTGTGCCCCTCACCTGGAACACCCTCTCCTGTTTGTCTGGCAGAAAACTCCTATTCTCTCTTCCAAAGACCAACTCACAAGTCCATGTCCTCTTCCTCTACTTCCCCCAAGTGCAGCACAGCTCAGCGCTCCCAGGGCTGTTCATCTGTTCACTCATCATTCACAACAGTCGTCCCGGTCAGGTCCCTAATGCCTGCCCAGTGGTCCCCTCACTGCCCCCCGAGTCTTCTGGAAACATATTCTCTTGCCGTGCCTCCCACCCCTTGGCTGGCTCTTCTTCCTCTCCCCAACCTGGAAGCACCAGTGGCCTCGGGCTCTGTTCCTACTCAGTTCCGGGGGGTGCACCTGAGCTTCAAACACCATCTCTACCCTCTAGACCTCCCAGATTAAAAAAAATATCTATCTATATCTCTATCTATCTATCTATCTATCTATCTATCTATCTATCTATCATCTATCATCTAATGTTTTTATTGATTTCAGAGAGGGAGGGAGATTTTTTTACTGATTTTCAGAGAGAGAGATAGAGAGATAGAAATATCAATGAAAAGAGAGAATCACTGATCGGCTGCTTCCTGCACACCCCACACCAGGGATCGAACCCACAGCCCGGTCATTGTGCCCTGACTGGGAATCGAACCGTGACCTTCTGGTTCTTTAGAGAGTGATGCTCAACCACTGAGCCACGCTGGCTAGGGCAGGCCTCCCAGATTTTGATCTCTAGCTGCCTTCCCTGATTCTACACTGGGATTTCCAATTCCCTGCTAGACAGACAACCTTCCTTTGGCTCTCAGGCAGGCATTTCAAGCATCTACCCTCAAGCCAGCTCCTTCAGCCTCATCCATTCAGGCCAAAAGCCTGGAGTAGCCGCTGACCCCACCCCTCTCACCTCCACAGCCAATCTGGCAGCATATGAGTGGCTCACCTTTCACGGCTCACTCCTAATCTGACAACTTCTCACCACCTCCTCTGCCCTACCCACGTCTGGGGCACCATCTTTGCCTCCTCTCTGGCCCTTGCTCCCTGCCCCCTGCATTTTCCCTGCAGGATCAGCTCCCTGTGGGAAACTCACAAATGACTGACTGCTCACAGCCTTTAGAATAAAACCCCGGGCCACCTCCTTATTCCCCAAAGCACTGGACATACATCAGCCTCAGGACCTTTGCACTTGCAGTTCCCTTTGCCTAGAATACCAGGCCCCCTCCCTCCCCTCTTTCAGGTCTCTACACAAATGTCCCTGACCTTACCTCTTCCCCGCCTACTCCCTTATCTTGATTGTGTTAGCAGCATTGCACCATCTGTTTGCGCTTATTAACTGGGCACCTTTTCGTGCTTCTGCTTTGTCTTGTTTCAAAGGCCTTGCAGAGGCACCAGAACCTCTGGGGAGATAATGCTGGATGGGGGCGGGCTCTGTAGGTGGCACAGTGCCCTTACAGCCTACGCAGTTAACAGAGAAATCAGTGCAGCTACTTAAACTGATTAGGGACTGTGTAAACACTGCTATCGGGATTGTCTGTTCTTATCAGCCCAGAGGCAAAAGTATGAGATTGGGAAGCTGCAATCAGATGCACTGACTGGACAGTCAAGAGATCGCCTGGGCCCAGGGCTGGAAGCTGCCTGGTCCCAACCCTGGAAGGGACTGACGACCTGGCTGGGATGCCCACTGTCCCGGCTCAGATAACACACACATAGGCTTTGAGGCTGCCGATCCTTTGCCCAAGCGGGGCCCACCGTCTAGAACACCCTCTCCGCTCAGTGCTAGCCGGTGGCTGCACAGTCCCCGGTTCAGGCGCCATGCAGTTCTGAATATGTGACCCCAGACTCTGCTGCCGCCTGGGTGAGGGCCAATGGGCAAGTCACCTGGCTACTCAGAGGATGGTGATCAGAACCTTCTCACTAGGCTGCCACCAAGAGTTAAAAGTACCCAGACTGGGGCCTGGCATGTAGGCACTCGGGAAATATCCACTGTTAAACCGGCCATTGAGGCAGACGGCCCAAGCCCTGGTGAGTGGGCCTGCCACCCCTCTATTCAGTCACTGGCCCTCTCAGCAGTTATGCACACCTGCATGTTGCCCTCACACTAGCTCTAGGAGGCAAGGACTGTGGGCAGCTTCCCTTAGAAGATGTGGAAAATGAGGCTCAGAGATGCAATGACACCTGCCCAAGGCCACGCAGCCAAGAGGTGGTGGAGCGGGGACTTGAACCCAGGTCTGCAGGGGCCTGCTTGCCACCACCTCAGATGGGGCTTTAGGGCTCACACTGTCTGCATGACTGTCCTTGAATGAGAGGCTGGAGGTGCAGGTCCCTCTCACCCCCGGGCAGAGGGGCACGTCTGGCACATCTGGCTTCTGTGGGTGTGGCCCAGGCTCCCCAGCGCTAGATGGATGAGTTAGTCTCCCCCCCAGCTGGCCTGGCCCCCTCGCACATGCTCACTCCTACCCTAAACCCAGATGGCTTATTTAGCCTGAGCACTACTGGCTTAGGTGGCCAGAATGCTTTTAATGAGATTGTGGGAGCTGGACGCTAGAAGTGGAAACAGTGACTTAAGAACTATGTCGTGCTTCCGGCTTGAGGTGTGTGCGACTCTAGGCCAGTCCCTTCCCTGAGCCTCAGTTTCCTCATCTGAAAAATGATGACGACTATAGCATCTACCTCCGAGGCTGTGGATGGGTGCGGACTGGCCGGGAGAAAACACTCAGTAGGTACTAATAAGTTGCAGCTTGCTCATTCATTCATTCAACAAGTATTTATCAAGCACCTACTGTGTGTGGCCTTGTGCTTGGGGTTGGGGACATAGTGGTGAACAGACAAAAATCTCTGCTCTCAAGAAGCGGACATTTGAGTAGGGGAAAACACATAATAAATAAAGAAATATGTTGCATAAAAGAGTAGGGTAAGGGGCTAGTGTATAACAGGACTGCTATTTTGGGGGCTCCCAAAGAGTAATTGGGGGCTCCCTGAAGAGGTGACCTCTGTCTGAGCAGAGAATTGGATGAGGTATGAGCTATGTAGGTATGTATAAGAAGTGTTCCAGGCACAGGAGGAAGCATATGCAAAGGCCCTGGGGTAGGAGTGTGTCCAGTACATAGCAGAGGCACAGTAAAGAGGCCAGTGTGGTGGGACCAACGTGAGCCAGAGAAGAGTGGAGGGAGATGAGGTCTGAGGAGCTGGGGCCAGGCTATGCTGAAAAGTTGGTGTTTCATTCTTAATATACAGTGGGGTGGCATGACATGACTGAGGTGCTAACAGGGGCCCTCTAGCTGTGTGTGGGGAATGGAAGCAAAGGTGGAAGTGGGGAGACCAGGGAGGAGGCTCCTACAATAGTCCAGGCGGGAGAGGATGGTGGCTGGACCAGGGTGGGGACAGTGCAGGTAAAGAGTAATGGTTGGATTCTGAATGCATTTTGAAAGTAGAGCCAAGAATATTTGCTGATGCTTTGGATGTGGAATGTGAAAGAAAGAGGAGCTAAGGATGACGCCCTCTAAGGATTTTGGCTCAAGTGACAGGTGCCACTGACTGAGAGGCGGAGTTCCCGCAGCACGTACTGAACTGTGTGCACACACATGAGCACGCATGTATACACATGTGCAAGTCGCCATCAGAGGGGCACAGACACTAGGTACGTCCCTGGCCCCCGTGGAAACGGAGGCCGGCAACAGAGCCATGGGCACTCACCGACACCCAGCATGACGAAGGGCGTGTGCTCCCAGCGGGCCAGCAGCAGGAGGTGGACCACGTTGTGGGCAATGAGGCTGAAACACAGGACCACACAGCACCACTCCTGGAAGCGCTTGCCTGTGCGGAGAGAGGGGAGAGGTGAGCATGGAGGGCAGCTTCTAATTCCCAAGAGAAGCCAGAATCAGGACGTGGGTGGGGAATCTCCTCTTTAAATGTTACCCTAGCCCGTTTGGCTCAGTGAGTACAGCTTCGGCCCCGGGGACTGAAGCGTCCTGGGTTCGATTCCGGTCAAGGGCATGCACTTTGGTTGTAGGTTCGATCCCCTGCTTCCGTAGTGGCGTGTGCAGGAGGCAACCAATCAACGTGTCTCTCTCATATGGATGTCTCTTTCTCTCTGTCTCTTCCTTTCCCTTCTACTCCCTCTAAAAATCAGTGGAAAAGAATCCATGGATGAGAATTTAAAAAAAAAAAATGTTGCCTATTTTTAATAGGCACATGAGCTTGGACAAGCTGATTTACTTACTGCAGCTTTGTTTGAGGTGTCAAACCATTGGAAATAACCTAAGTGTCCATGGCCTGGGGGACCAGCCAAATTACTCTGGTCCACAGCATCTCTGCGACCAGGAAATAGCCAGGGTGTGCACACATTAGAACATCCAGGACATACTGGTGAGCGCAAACAGCAGGCATTTATATCAAAAACAAAAACTATAGTTAAGACTAGCTTTTCACTTACGCCTTTTTGAATTTAAAATTTGTGAATGTACTATCCAAAGTCTTTTCCTGTCATTTTAAATCAAAATTTTAAAAAAGTAACAGGAAATAAAAATAGCATGTAGGTGACAATGAATTTGTGACAGGGCCTCTGAGAATACTGCTTTCCCAGGCAGCGGGTCTCAAGGGCATGGAAGACTCTTAATGATAATAATTTCCTTATCATTAGTGTTTAACATCTACTAAGCAGTTACCCTGTGCCGGGTACCAGCTGAAGTGATGCTATTTTGCAGATGAGAAATCTGAGGGTCAGGGTGGTCCCAAGGAAGTAACTCAAAACTACCCAGCTAGTCAGCTACAGACCAGGATCCAGTGGCCAGGGGATCTGGCTCCTGAGACCCTTCTCTTACTTGTCCTGTTGTCCCTGGTCCCTCCCGCCATGACCCTGACCACATTCTGGGACAGGATCACCTTAAACAATAGACCAGGCAGCGAGCGATTCGCCATCAAAGGGGCCAAGGCACATCAAGTTTTCTCCTGTATCGTCCTCTCCTCTCTTTAGTGCTTTGGGTATGCTGTTTCCTTCACCCCTCCACAACAGGCTGACTTTGGCACTGCCCTTAAAAACCTCAACCTGGAACCTCTGCTTCCAGGAAGCCATCCGTGATTCCTCCTCTGACCCCCGGGCTCCCCCAACATAGAGGGACTGTCCCTGCGTGTCCAAATGTGAACTCAGGAGGCCTGTCTGGTTTGCTCACCAGGACCCTGGCACTCAGTTGGTGCTCAATAAATGCTAGTGGAATACAATTCCACTATGATAATCCTAAAGGAAAAACTGCCAGGCTTTGTCTTTGGGCTCCTCTTCCCAAAGCAGCTTGGGAAGGAAACATCCTTTGTCCCTGATAGGGAAAGAGACTGAGAGAGAAAGGCCTTGTTCAGGTCCTACAACAGCAAGCTGCTCCCTGAGTCAGATCAGAATAGCTGCCCTCTCTATGCCCTGTGAAAAGACCAAGATCCAGAGTGGGGAAGGACTGTGCCCAGAGTCACATTCCCTTAGTCCCTTCTCATACAGATGAGGACACTGAGGTCCAGGCATAGCTACAGGGGTCATGCAGCAGCAGCAGAGAGCCTCGAACCCCTTGCTTCCTGCTTCTTGGTCAGGGGCAGTTTTCTTTGGGTCATGTGGCCCTGCCACCGCAGCAGCCTCCAGCTCAGGCCACCATGATCTGGCCCAGCAGGGCCTTCCCCATCTGGTTCCTCTTTGTGGCCAAGGCCTGGGACTCAGAAGCAGGAAGCCTGGGGCGGAGGGTGGGGAGTCGGGGCGGGGGGGGGCGGCTGGAGGTGAGCTGCAGGCAAGGGACAGGTGATTCCTCAATGCCAACTTGTTTATTCACTGCCCAACCTGGCAACAGTATTGGCCAGGCCCCTGCAGTCATCTGAGTTTTTGAGCCTGAGATAAAATGACAATGACAATAACAATGGATGACACCCACTGAGGCCTATCACAGCTGGGGTGTCAGGTTTAGCCCACATCAGAGATGCCACAGACCCACTCCCTCCAGCATATTTTGCTCTCAGTTAAAAAAAAAAAAATTAGCTACACATACACAAAACTCACATGAAATTCCTATTTCCTGCTTCCCTTGAGAACATAGGACTCTGGCCACCCTGGGGCATGAGCAGCAGGGGTTGCCCCATCAGAAGGGGGTCCTGGCCTGTAGTCCCAGAGCTGAGCCTAGGTTCAGTTCCCCCTGGTCCCTCCCCTACTGGTGGCCTCATATTGGGCGGCTTTCCTTGGTGGCAGTCCTGGTCAGGCCCCTGCAGTCATCTGAGTTTTTGAGCCTGAGGCATAGTCTCTCATTCAAGTCTCAGTCCTTCCAGGGAGGAACTATTGATCCCATTCCTCAGATGAGGAAACTAAACTGAGGCTCAGGGGTAAAAATGAAGAGCTGGGTCTGGATCCCTGACTCGTAAATGGGACACGATGGCCTGAAGTTTGGGGCTGTCCCGATTCCAAAGGTTGCCCAGCTCTCTCCCCATGCCATGGAGAATGTCCCGGAATCTGAGTATTTTCCCGTCTGAACTCTCTTTGGCCTCTGGAATCTGGATCCTTCTGTAGAACAAGGCCTCAACTTTGATCCATAAAAAACACATCTACAATAATAAACAGCCTTCATTAAGCACGTCCTACATGCCCGGTACAATACCAGCAGTTACCTCAGCCAGCCCTCACCATACTCCATAGACCTTTGCCCCATCCTTCAAAGGGAGAAAGGGAGAGATGAAGTGACTTATTCAAAGTCACTTGAGAGTCACCTGGACAGTCGGTCTGGCAGGGCCTGCATGGCCAAGTGGTCTACATGCTCTGACTTTACAGATTGGTTGACTAGAGCCCAGGGAGGGGAAGGGCTTTGCCCCAGACACAAGAGCTCGGGCTGCCTCTGGCAGAGTGCTGGGCCTTGTTTTCTTGAGCCACCTCTGGCCTGGCCAGGGCCCATGAACAGGGCTGAGTTACAGCAGTGACTGCCGGTTGGCCTGGGGAGGGGGCCGGATTGTGTGTGGTGGCTGTGGAGGGCTGGGAGGTGCAGGGGAGGTCAGGAGCCAGGCCTCGGCCATCTCTGCTTTCCTGGGGGCGGGCTACAGCCAGAGCCCTGGCATCAGGCCCAAATCTTCTAATTCAGTCAGACAAGCTCTGAACAACCTGCACTTCTGATGGCCTTTGGCCACTAGGAGACCCTGGACCTCAGGAAAGAGTGGACAGGAGGTGAGGGAGAAGGCAGGAGAGAGAGAGAGAGAGAGAGAGAGAGAGAGAGAGAGAGAGAGAGAGAATGATGTGAGAGAGAACAGGAATCAAGAGACAGAGATGAGAAACAGATAGAATAAAGAGAAAAACAGACACAGGGACAGAGTATAGGGACACAGAGAATAAAAGAGAAACGGAAGGAAGGAGAGACAAAGAAATGTGAAAAGAACAAGACTGAGGGAGGCAGAGAGAAAGCTTGGCCCAGCGTGTGGCAAGGACCAGGCCTGGCCAGGGAAGGGGCCCCATGCCTGTCCCCTGGCTTCAGTCAGGCCCATGTGGGGGACTGAACCGAGGCTCAGCTCTGGGACTACAGGCCAGGACCTCCGCTCAGTGCTCCTGACACCCTCTACCTCTCCTGGAACCCCGTACTGAGAGCCGCTGTGTCTCCCAGGGCAGGGGGCATCTGTAGTTAGCCAGTGGGGAGGTAAACGGCTGACTCTAGAGAGCCCTCAGAATCCACCCCGGGAGCACCTGAGAAGTGCTGTACACATAGGCAGGCATCAGCTGACACCTGCTTCCCCTACAGGCTTGCCCATGAGGTCAGGGGAAACATGCCAAGCCCGCCAGGCCTTTCACAAATCCTGGCACCTGGCACAGGACAGCTGCTGCTGCGAAACTGAAATCCAGAGTGGAGCAGGCTATGGGACTCTCTGGCTCCCGGCCTCAGGACCAGGCCCCACTCTTTGGCTGGACACTCGGGGCCATGGGATTGGTCTGAGGCTGCCTCACCCCTCACCATTCCCCCTACCCCACACCACACTAATCAGATGACTCACAGCTCTGCCCACACAGCGCCCACTCTCTCTGCTCTGCTGACCTGCACTGGCCCCGCTGCTGCACGCCCACCTCGGGCTGGCTCACTTCCACAGGAGAGACTAAGAACACGGAACCTGGAACGTCATCCACCAGTGTTCTGGTTCTGGCCCTGATGCTAAGTGGCGGTGCGACCACGGGCAGGGTGCTATTCTTTGCTAAGCCTCAGGAAATGTTGTCAAGGTGGAGGGGGCACTCGTGAAGTGCCAGACACGTTAGGGAAACCAAATAGATGCAACCCCTGGCCTAGCCAACTTCCTCTCTGGTACGGGCAGGGGCAAGCCCAATCCAGGCAGGACAAGCGTAGGAAGAACATGCTCTTCGCTATGAAGAGGCCACGGGGGCCTCAGTTTCCCCTCCTGTAAATGGAGTTAACGCCAAGGTGCTCCTCAGACAACTGTAGAGAGGATGGTACGCGTGCATGTGAGGAAAATACCCAGGACATGACAGGGGTCAATAAACTGTCTTTGCCTAGTTATTGTTACCAACTGTTACAATGCCAACCCACTTCTGGCCCCAGGAATGTCAAGAATCTAGTTCTGGAACCCAGAAACGTCTCCTACTCTCCCTTTGCTCACTCTGCTCCAACCCATAAGCCTCCTCGCTGTTCCGGACATTTCAGGCACACTCCCACCTCAGGGCCTTTGCACTTGCTCTATCCCTAGTCTGGACTAATCCTTCCTCAAATATCTTCATGCCCTTCAGAACTCTGTTCAAATGTCACCTATGAGGCCTTAACTGCCCTCCTCTAAAATGTCACTGTTCCCAACATTTCATTCCCCCCTTTTCTGCTTATATATTTGTTCTATAGGGCTTGTCACCACTGGGCAAGCAACGTACTTCCCTCCTATATTGGGCTTACTAAAATGCCAGCCCCATTTTTCCTGTCTTGTTCACCACTTTGTCCCCAAGGTTCTAAACCAGGGACTGGGACAAAAGCTGCTTAGTATGTGGTGAGCCTAGTGGCTCATTGTATAGGTTAGGCCCAGAGAGATCAAGGTATTTCCTCAAAGTTACATAATGAAGGGACAGAAGGAAGCCTACAAATTTGGAGAAACCAGTCTGGCCAGTTTCCCTCCTTCCATTCCTCATACCCCAGCCCCCAAACTCCATGCCAGGAGGAGTTAGGCCGTGGCTGCAGGTCTGTGGTACCAGGAGGCTGTTGGCAGCCTCAGATCCCTGCATGGCTCTTCTTCAGAGAGTGAGGGCCCTTGGAGACAGCAGAACCAGACAAAGATGCAATCATGGTGAAATGGGGAGATGGTGGGCCCTAGGGGAGGCTCAGAATGCCCAGGTATGATTTGGTTGAAAGCGGGTAGGGTTGGGGTGGGGGGAATGATGAGGGGTGAGGCAGCCTCAGACCAATTCCATGGGCCCCGAGTGTACAGCCAAGGAGTTGGGGCCTGGTCCTGCAGTCCAGGAGCCAGAGCGTCCCATAGCCCACTCCACTCTGGATTTCAGTTTCCCAGCAGCAGCTGTCCTGTGCCAGATGCCAGGATTTGTGAAAGGCGGGCTTGGCATGTTTCCCCTGACCTCATGGGCAAGCCTGTAGGTGAAGCAGGTGTCAGCTGATGCATCAGGGGCTGAGGCTGGGGTTCCGATCTGCGGACCCGGGATTGTTGTCCACAGGGGGGACTGCAGGCCCGGAGGGGAGCCCGATTTCATTTACTCCTAATAACCAATGAAAGCGGGCAGGGATGGACACAAAGGAGAAGGCCTTATCCTTGATTCCCAGGGGATGAACCTGAGGACAGAGAAGTGAGGCAGCTTACTTCGAGATTCACAGGAAAAGTCAGATTAACAACAAGGAGCGCCTACTCTATGCCAGGCACTGTGCCAAAGTGGATGATCTTATTCCCTTTTCCGAATGACACTAAGGAACAAATAAACTTTACCTTGTGCCCATTTTAGAGGTGAGGACACTGAAGCTTAAGAGAGGGAAAGTCGCTTGGCCCTTGGAAGTGCAGGCTGGGTATTTTGGGAAAAGGCTGAAGAAACCATGACAGCACGGGCCAGGTGCCTACATCAGATCAGAAGAAAATCCCACCCAGAGTATGGAATTGCAAGTCCAGAAAGGTCTCTGCTGGTCCTCAACAAGAGAGCAAATGGCCCAATGTCATGTAGCCCCAGGTATGACAGAGATGGTACGCAACCCAGGCCAGTCAAGCCAAAGGTGGTAGTGGGCCCTTGCCCACCCCAGGCTAGGGCTGTGCATGGTGGCAAATGTTAAAATGCCAGGATGTTTGACAAACAAAGCTTGGAGTGATGACTATGTTCAGCAGAGGAGCCACTGGCAGCTCCCAGTCACCTGACTCTGGAGTTCTCAAAGGCGGTTCCTTAACCCCTGGGGACACTTGGCCTTCTTGGGGCTAGGCAATGAGATTCCTGGGGCTCAGGAGGAAGTCAGAGAAGGGGGTGGGGACTGATGCTGCTGGAGCATAAATGGTAGGCACAGGGGTAAGAAGACAGGGGCCTTGGCCTGAGGGCAGAATTTGAGCAAGGGTCTCTAAATTGTGGTCTAGGGGTTATGGGGGCTCTACACACAAGTCCTAATGGAGGGGGCTAATATATCCATCACCATGGGGGAGGGGCAAGGGATGGATGGAGTTGTGGCTTGCGTATGGGAGGAGCTTAAACTGGAGGATTTGCAATGCCCTTCCCACCAGGAATTCTGGAATACCCGGTGAGGGGCTGACTGTCCTTACTGCAGGGAGTTGGTTGGGGGGCAGTGATGGAGTAGGAGGAGGAAATGGTGATCTGTACGTTCAGTCTCTGAATCTACAACTAGGATAGGGCGCTGGGGGAAGGGCGTTTGGGGCATTCAGTAGCTAGGGGCCCTTGCATTGAGGTTCCCAGAGCGGGAGGCTGATGTGTCCAGATGTGGGGGCTGAGGTCACTGTTTCCAGCCCAGGACCCTGGCTGAGGCACAGAAGGGGCCCTAGGGTGTGAATGCCGGATCTGGGAGACCTGGGGTGGGGTGTGATTTCTCGGGGCTCGGGGCAGAGCTTGTAGCTGAGGAGCAGCCACCGGCTTGTAATGGGTTATGGGGTGGGGTGTCCCTAAGTCCAGCGGCGGTCTTTGCAGCCGCGGGTGCCCCGGGGCCAGGGTTGGGATCTGGGGGTGCGATGGGAGCTCTGTTTGTAGTCCCGGGAGCTGATATTGCAGTTCCTTGATATGGGGAATCTAAGCATCCAGAAAGCCTCGGGACTGGGTTCTGGCTTGGACTTCGAAGTGGCGCTGGGATGGGGTCCCCAAACTTGCAACATAAGCCGAGGCTGGAGTTCTGCATCAGGGCCTGAGGCTGCGGTTCCGATCTGGGGACCCGGGATCGCTGTCCGCAGCCCGGTCTGGGGACTGCAGGCCCGGAGGGGAGCCCGAAGGTCCTACCTGGCGAGTAGAGCGCGGCCAGCTCGCGGGCCCCGGCGTGCTGCGCGCCCCAGCGCCGGCAATACGCTGCTTCGTCCTCGTCGAGCTCCGGCTGCTGGCCCGGTCCGTCCTCGGCGCCCTCCATGGTCACTGGGCCGGCCCGCCGGATGCGCTCTGCTAGCAGAGGCGGCTGCGGCAGCAGGGCCGCGGAACCGCGGCGAGATCACGCCGCCAATGACCGCCCAACGCCGGGGGTGGTGGCGGCGCCGACCGGGGCCTCGCCCGGCCGCGCGTCACAGCCAATCATAGCCCGCGCCGGGGACGCGCCGGCGAATCAGCGGCCTCCGAGCCACAACCAACCGGGGCGCGCCGGGGGTCGGACCGCAGCTGGGCGCAGCTGGGCGCGGAAGCGAGGGGCGGTGGCGCGTCCCTGCCCGCCTCGCTCCGCCCCGGCCTGTGCCCGGGTGCACGCCTCACGGAAACGCGGGCCTGGGCGCCTCCCAAGTCAGTCTCGGCTTACGGTCCGGTCCGGTCCGGTGTAACGAGCCGAGGTCGTGCGCCGCCGCACCTGGAAACGGGCATTTCTTCACCGCGCACCGTCAAGCGCCTACTGTGTGTGCAAGAAACGCGAGGGCGCCGGGCCCGGGCCAGGGGGCCAGCGCTTGGTGGGCACTTGGAACAGAGCTCCCTAGCTGGAGCCTGTGTACGCTGGGCCAGCTAATGGAGCCCTCTCGCGTGTAGTGGTTGGAGGACCGTGCGTGCACCTGCTGTGCCCGCTCATGCTGTGCGCCTCCGAGGAGAAACGCCTGACCCCCCGGAACTGCTGTCCTCCCGAGGGAGAGGACACCAAAGTGATGAGAACGACACTAGGATGCACTATGAGCTTTGGTGAGCGCTTAATCTGTTAGGCGCCGGGCCAGGAGCTAGACGGCAGATTTCATTTACTCCTAATCACCAAGGATGGGCTCTCTTCAGAGGCCCCTCTGACCACCCCCTCGCTCAGAGTTGCCCCTCCTCCAGTCACTGTGACATCACCCTGTTGTGTCTCACGGTGCTTGTCCTGGGCAGTGAGCTTTGCAGTTCATATCTCGCCCTAACAGACAAGCTCCCGAGGGCGATGACTTGCTCGTTCATAGCTGAACGCCGCATCTTCATCAGAGTAGGGCACACGATCGGCTCAGTAAGTGCTTGCTGAATGAATGAAGGCTCAGTCACACGCTTTTACGACCGCAGCAGGTAAATGACAGGGGCGGGGTTTTACCTGGGTCCAGCTGGCTGCAAAGTACACAATTACTCGCATAACTTCCATCCAGTGTCACCAAATGGAAGCCACCGTAGAGGCCATGGGAGGACCCAAGAGGGGAGCAAGGAAGGGAGGCCAGACCCAGCGTTTGGAAGCTCCGTTCTGCCCTGGTTCTCTGAAGGTTTAAACCCTGGAGTCCTCGGCTGCTGGTCATCCCAGTCATCTCAGGTCTGTTTCCTCAGTGTTCCTGCTGTGGGCAGCCTCTGTCCCTAGCCAGGCCCATGCTCCCGCCCTGCTTCCTTCTCCACCTCCTTCAAGGAAACAGAATTCATTGTGATGGCAGGGACAGATGGCAGCCCAACTCCTGGTGAATTCTGGAGAACCTGGGTGGGCTTGCTGTCCTTTATGGACACATTTGGGTTTTATTTCTTTTAAAATTAAACCTTTATTGTTAGATTGTTACAGTTGTTCCTCTTTTTTCCCCCCATAGCTCCCCTCCACCCGGTTCCCACCCCACCCTTTGCCCTCATCCCCGCCCCCCCCCCCACTGTCCTCATCCATAGGTGCACGATTATTGTTCAGTCTCTTCCCGCATCCCCTACACCCCTTCCCCCTACCCCTGAGAATAGTCAGTCCACTCCCTTTCTATGCCCCTGATTCTATCATAATCACCAGTTTATTCTGTTCATCAGATTATTTATTCACTTGATTTTTAGATTCACTTGTTGATAGATGTGTATTTGTTGTTCATAATTTGTATTTTTACCTTTTTCTTCTTCTTCCTCTTCTTAAAGAATACCTTTCAGCATTTCATATAATACTGGTTTGGTGGTGATGAACTCCTTTAGCTTTTCCTTATCTGTGAAGCTCTTTATCTGACCTTCAATTCTGAATGATAGCTTTGCTGGATAAAGTAATCTTGGTTGCAGGTTCTTGGCATTCATCACTTTGAATATTTCTTGCCATTCCCTCCTGGCCTGCAAAGTTTCTGTTGAGAAATCAGCTGACAGTCGTATGGGTACTCCCTTGTAGGTAACTGATTTTCTTTCTCTTGCTGCTTTTAAGATTCTTTCTTTGTCTTTTGCTCTTGGCATTTTAATTATGATGTGTCTTGGTGTGGTCCTCTTTGGATTCCTTTTGTTTGGGGTTCTCTGCGCTTCCTGGACTTGTAAGTCTGTTTCTTTTACCAGGTAGGGGAAGTTTTCTGTCATGATTTCTTCAAAGAGGGTTTCAATATCTTACTCTCTCTCTTCTTCTGGCACCCCTATAATTCTGATGTTGGTACGCTTGAAGCTGTCCCAGAGGCTCCTTACACTATTTTCATATTCTTTTTTCATTTTGCTTTTCCGGTTGGGTTGTTTTTTGCTTCTTCGTGTTTCAAATTTTTGACTTGATTCTTGCGATCCTCTAGTCTGCTGTTGGAACTCTGCATAATATCTTTTATTTCAGTCAGTGTATGCTTAATTACATTTGGGTTTTCAACCCAGGGGCTTAAGGGCAGCTTGCCTTGGTGGGGGCTGGATCTCAGATTTCAGAGAAACACCCTCTAAAGCTTTCTGTATGTGTCCCAGAGCTCCAAACTATCTGGGGTGGCTGGTTACTACTGGTGTCTGGTGTCTGGAGCCCTCTTAGTGGCCAGCACCATGGATGACGGATGAAGAGACAGCCTGAGATCATTCATTCACTCAACACATTTTTATTAAGCACCAACCTGGCCCAGACGCTGTTCTACGGAAATAGTAGGGGACATGACACAGAGTTTCCTGGGAGGTAAGGGTGTGGGGTCAGGGAAGGCCTGTTCAGGAAAGTGACATTTGAGTCAAGACCTAAAGGAGGTGAGAGAGCAAATACTGTGCAAATATCTTGAGATAAATGATTCAAAGCAAAGGGAACAGCAAGGACAAAGTTCCTGCGACAGGAACATGCTTGTGATTTCCAGAACAGCAAGGAGGCCCGTGAGACAGGAGTTAGGTAAGAGACGAGGAGGTGGAGGAGGTGAGGTCAGAGAGGAAAGGAGAGGGGCAGGTGGGGTAGGGCCTTGAAAGGGACTAGAGCAGGGGAGGGCAAACTTTTTGACTCGAGGGCCACATGGGTTCTTAAACTGGACCGGAGGGCTGGAACAAAAGCATGGATGGAGTGTTTGTGTGAACTAATATAAATTCAAAGTAAATATCATTACATAAAAGGGTACGGTCTTTTTTTTTTTTAGTTTTATTCATTTCAAACGGGCCGGGTCCGGCCCGCGGGCCGTAGTTTGCCCACGGCTGGACTAGAGAGTCCTTGGTTTTTACTTATAAAATGAGCTAGGAATTTCTTCCCTCTAGAGTTTTGAATACAGGAATTACATGACCTGATTTATATTTAAAAAATAGTTTTATTTTTAATATGTAGAACATTCACATGCTTTGAAAACCCAAATTATATATGTATATATCTATTATTTCATATAATACAATAGAATCATTATTATTTTTTGTCCAGCTTCTTTCACTTAACATAATGTTTTCAAGGTTCATCCATGTTGTAGCACTTCATTTCTTTTATGGCTGAATAACATTTCATTGTATGGATAGATCATATTTTGCTTCTGCATTCAGTTGATAGACATTTGAGCTGTTTCCACTCTTTGGCTGTTATGAAGCATTCATGTACAAATTTTTGGGTGGACATCCATTTTCATTTCTCTTGGGTATATACATACCTAGGAGTGGAATTGCTGGATCCTATGGTAACTATGTGTAGTGTTTTGAAGAACTGCCAAACTGTTTTCCATGGCAGCTGCGCCACTTTACATCCCTACCAGCAATACACGAGGGTTCCAATTGCTCCACATCCTCACCAACATTTCTTATGTCCCATGTTTTTGGTTATACCACCCTAATGAATGGGAACTGATGATCTCATGGTGGTTTGCATTTACATTTTCCTAATAATTAATGATGGTGAGCATCTTTTCATGTGCTAATTGGCCATTTGTACATTTTTTTTGGAGAAATCTTTTGACCATTTAAAAATTGAGTAATTTGTCTTTGTTGTTAAATCGTAAGGGTTCTTTATATATTCTGGACCCTAAATCCTTATCAGATATATGATCTACAAATGTTTTCTCTCATTCTGTTGGTTGTCTTTTCATTTTCTTGATAATGTCCTTTGATAACTCAAAAAGCTTTTACTTCTGATGAAGTCCAATTTATCTGTTTTTTTTTTTTTTATTAGTTAAGGTATTACAAATGTGTCAATTTATCTGTTTTTTACTTTGTGCTTTAGGTGTCATATTTCCTCATTCTTTTTTTACAACTTCATTGTATGCTACTGTGTAGCTGGGCCGTAATTTATTTAATTAGTTGCCTATTAATGGACAGATACTTGGATTGTTTCCTGTCTTTATGTTATAAACCTTTTACATAATGTCATTTGGCATGTGAAGGTAGATCAATGGGACAAACTCTTGAAGTGGGATTGCTGTGACAAATGTTAAATGCCTTTGTTGTTTTGGTAGCTATAGACAAATCTGTCAATAGGTAGGTAAGTAGATATCGCCATTGGAATCATATGCAAATTTATACTCCCACCAACTGTTCAAGAGTGCCTGTTTCCCACAGCCTTGCCTGCAGAATGTGGCTACTAAAGTAAGATTAAAAATTCAGTCCTGGCTGCTGTGGCTAAGTGGTTAGAGCATCAGTCTTGGGCTCAATTCCAGGTCAAGAGCACTAACTAGGTTGCAGGCTTGATCTGTGCCCCTACTAGGGGCACATGCAGGAGGCAACCAGTCTGCATGTCTCTCTCACATGGATGTTTCTCCCTCTCCCCCCAACCCCTCCCTTCCACTCTGAAAACCAATGGGAAAAACCCAATTAAAAATAAATAAATAAATAAATAAATAAAAATTCAGTCCTTCAGTAGGTTTCAAGTGCTCATCAGTCACACGTGGCTGGTGGATAATGAGTCGGACAGTGCAGAGGGAGAACATTTCCGCCACTGCAGAACATTCTATTGGAGAGTCTGGCAAAGC